CCTTCCTTCCTTCCTTCCTTCCTTCCTTCCTTCCTTCCTTCCTTCCTTCCTCCCTTCCTCCCTTCCTCCCTTCCTCCCTTCCTTCCTCCCTTCCTCCCACTCAGGAGGAAATTCCATGGAAGTAAATCTGCAATTTTTAATATTCAATTTGAAATGTTTTCATTCCTTCTCCCTTCTTGTAAGTAATTCTACCCCAGCAGTTGCCACACATACTGCAGGTCAAGCCCAGGTGAGAAATTTTATGGAAAGAGAAACAAAGAAGCTGCACACACACTAAATTATGTTTGTTTTTAAGACAGATTTCAAGATTTGGTGAGAAAAACATGCCATACTCAGAAGAGTCTAATAAACTTGCACTTCTCCAAAGTGCCATGTAAATCGATCTCTCTGTTTTCTTGGACTGATACTTCTCTCCCAAACAAAAAAGAAAATAAAATATGCTGCAAAGAAGAAAAATATTATACCATAACCCAGAGAGTTTCCTCCACAGTCCCATGAGCCATTGTCTAGGCAGCAATATTGCTTATCAGGAATTTTAAAAATTAGTGGGTTAATTCATTAGCAGAAACCTTGGTATTTGTTTTCCAGTTTCCAGTTTTTATACCCTTTTCATGGCCATGTGCTCTATAATGAAGGATGTTGTTTTGGCTTCTTGGAGAGATGTTTTTCCATTGCCTCCTGACCTGCCATTTACCTTGGCTGAATGCAGATAAGTCTGTTGAAATACTCCAGCTCTGTTGGAAAGAGACAAGATTTTGTACTTCAGATTTTCAAATATTGCTCCTAAGATCAATCAATTAAAGACTGCTGTTTCCCTACATCTCCCCCCAGTGTTTTAAATATTTTTTTTTTTTTCCGAAATACACAAAATTTTATATTTGGGAATCTGTCCTGTGGGTACAAATTAGTTATGAGACAGGAACAACACAAAAATTGGTTTATATATTACATAAAAAGGTTTATTTATTACAGCTGCAGTAAGCCTGTGTCACATGGAGACAGGGCTTGTCTTCAGACAGTCTGGATTTCCTGAGCCTTTTCTTTTTCATAAGGTGTTGAATACAACTTGATTCTACCATCCACTGTCATGGTAGAATGGTTGTACCAAGGAGTTGTGTGCAGACACATGCTGTAGTGTTTACATATATATTTACACATTGTCTGTGGAGATAATGTCAAACTGCTATTTTTGGATAATGATGTACAAAACTAGTATTTTATGTGCTCAGAGAGCCTCACAAACCCTGGTGAGTGGAGCTTTGAAGAGGTACACTGAAGTGGAAGCACTGCTACCTTGTTTTGAATGTTGGCTTATTTTGGCTTGTTTTGAGCATCTACCACATTAAATTATATTTTTTTTACGCTTTTTACTGATGTCACAGACTTCTGTCACCAAAAAAAGTGAATGAGAAACCTCTCTTTAAGCCCAAGCTGTATTGCTTCCTTACCCAGATTTCATCCTTCTCTTCATTCAGCAACAGCAGTGATAGTACATACACTAGATCAGATTATCCAAGAGTTATCTAGTGTCCTCCAGCCAGAGGAATGACAAGCTGAGGACACTGAAAAATGAGACGTGACTGGGCTCACACCCTCTGTTCACACACTTGAATCAAACACTGCAGCTGTTAGACAAAACTGGATGAAGAGGGATGCTGCAGTTGCATGCCTGATGTGTCCAGTCATCCTTAAAATACAGCCTGAGCAGCCAGGCGTGCTGAGACAGACCATCCTTCTGACCTAGTATTCCTGCAGGAAGGAAACAGAGGTGTTCAATGGCAACAAGAATTGAAATCACTGGGAGGACCAAGAGAATGTTAAGACAGCTCAGGAACATGTCACAGAAAGGATAGATGGGCAGGAGCGCAAGCAGGACACCAGAATGGGCCAAGAAATTGTCATGAAAGTCAGACCTGCCACTCCTTAATAGGAAAACATTCCCATCAAATATTTCTGTATGGTTTGAGTAATAATGCAGGTTTTATAGAATGTTTTAAGTGATAGCAAATTATTTTGTCCCAGGTTGAGTTTTGCTTTCCTTCTTATACACAAGCATTGTAACTTGTCATATTGAGCACAAGTTCCCATCATCCTTCTTGTTTTACATAAAATTAAATGCAAGTTTATATACCCTGGCAAGCACTGTGACTGTTGGAAGAAAAAGAGGGAAAGGCAGAGAAGGTACAAAGTCATTGTGATTTACATTCAGTTCTGGATTTCTAACTGTAATTTCTGACTTGTTTCATTAATTTATTTGGAGATGCCTTCAGCTGATTAGAGCTTATAAATCTCAATTCCCATTTCTTTTGTTGTCTACAATTAATACTTGCAAATGTTCCAATAAAGGAATCACTAAGTGGAGACATGGAAATGAATGTTGTTAACTCTGTGCATGTATGTGTAACCAAGAGGGATGTGGAAATCAGAGGGATATGGACCCAGAATATTCATAGGTATTCAAAATCAAACTGATTAAGCTTTTTTCCATTAAAGTCTTCTTTTTCACCTACACCATCCTGGTTCTGAGCATGGCTGGGGCTATTTTATCCTGCAATTGCAGGTTTAGTGCCTTGTTCTTGCAGCACATGGGGCTAGGAGCATGGTTTTGAAGGTCTGATCTGAACAAGACTTTTGAGAAGGTCTGAAGCACTTTGCTGCTTACTGTCCTAGAACACCAAACACCTCAGATGGGCCTCCAGGTGAGGGATGTCCTGAACTAAGTCACATCAGTCCCCACATTAGCCATTATGATGGCTTAATTATCTGTTTATAATGGCTGATCTGGTCTTACTATTCCTCTCACTCTCAGATGGCTGACCTCCTCTTTTAATTTCTGTTCCTGGCAAGTAGCTACTCTGCTTTCAGCAAGTAGCAGGAGCTGGTGTCTGATCACTGGCAAGGCAAGGAGCTAGTCAGAGGGCAGCCACTGGCTGTGGGAAGAAACTGAGGTACAAGGAATAGGGGAAAGTAGGGGAAAGGTGGCTGAGTGGATTCACACGTGAGAACAAAACCACTTTTCCCCAGTGCATGCTCCTTGCCTAAAGGAACAGCAGCTCACACATCCAAAGGGAACAAGCAGTCTCCAGCTCCAGCCTCCAGCGGTGCTTTGTTTTCCTCCCTCACTTCTGTGTGTGTCTGTGTACTCTGGAGATATTGGCTCCTCCATGAGCTGTCCCTGGAGCAGGCTCTGCACTGCCCTGTGCAGGTGCTGGGGCTCACCCAGGTGAGGGACTGGCATGGGACACCTGCCCATGCCTGGTACTCCTCCCAGCTGGGACACCCTGGGCTCCCCAGGGCTTGGGCAGGAGCTGGAGGTTCCCACTGCTTACCCACACTCAGAGATACCTTGGGCATCTATAAATGGAATGGTAAACTGCCTTACAGACAAAACCCTTGCTCCCCAGAAACCAGGCCTTCCTAAAACCAGAGCCTATTTGTTCATGCACCATCTCCACCTCATTTTTTTCATGCTGTTTAGTGGAAACAAACAAACAAACAAACAAACAAACAAAAACAAACAAACAAAAAAAAACTTGGCTGAAAAAATTTTTGAAAGTTCTCATCTGTTTTCTTTCATATGGTGGAATAGGTTTGTTTTTTCTTCCCATCTGGCTCAGAGATGAAAAAAAACATTCTTTGATTTCTTTTTCAAAATAAACTCAGTGTAATGCTATGAAGTTTGTGTGGAGATGTTTTGGGGTTTTTTTTAGACCAAGACAATAAAAGCAAATTACCAGGAAAATAATGCCCTTTTTGGAGAAGATTTTGCATACCATGGTGATTTTCTTACTCAGAGAACTTCCCAGAGGCATGTAAGTATTGCCAGCCCCATTTTGTGACTGGAAGAAAAAGGAGATTTTCAAGAATGTGATTCATTTTGATGTCTCATTTTAGATATTTTGTTTATCAGGTGATTTTTCAAAAGTGACTTTTTCCAGTGAAACCAACATTGACATACAGCAAATTACTTTTCATACACCTTAGTTAGGGGAGTGGGCTTTTCAATGCTAAATTAAACAGAGTGGTGTCCTTCCCCCAGCACCCTGCATAGAGGAGGCAGCTATTTCTGCTGCTGTTTTGGAGAGCAGAGCACAGTGCAATCACAGCAGAAGAGCACCAGCAGTGTAGAGCAATGTCCTGTGTGGGTAAGAGTTAACACCTGACACTA